TCCAGTAACTGTTATCGCTATTTCCAGTATTGATAGGGCTTTCCTTCCTAAACTTTTATTTGAAGTCGTGTGTAATATCAACATCATGATTGTGCCATTATTTTCTCTTCTCAAGTCCAGTAGCTATTATCACTCTTTCCATTTGTGATGGGAGTTCCCTTCCTAAACTTTTATTTGAAGTAGTGTGGAATGTCAACATCTTGATTATGCCATTATTTTCTCTTCGAGTTACACGTGCTATCCATTTTAGTTGTAGCTATTTTAGTAATCCTCAAGCGACGTGGTTTCTTTTATTTGGCACAGTTCTTTCTTTGTGATTCTGTAGCGCCAGTCCACAATGTTTGGAGAATGATGGTCTTTGCCAAGAACGCTGATCTGAGAGGCCGAGGGCCTCAATGAAGAAAGAAGGTAATAAGTAGTTTCCTGGTAGGAATTATGTTTACAATAATTTATGTCGACTGAAAAGAAGATAACTACATGAAGTTACAATACAATACAATGACAGTGTGAGAACAGTTAACACGTGGTAAAAAGCGTTCTATATAGTACAACTAGCAAAATGAATGTACACAAACATTAAACAAATCTGGGATATTAAGAGAGTCCAACATTACAGAAAGATATTACATACCGGCGATGCTATAATTTAGGGGGTAGATTTTGTAGGATAGAAATAATATGAATCGCGTGCCTTAAGCTTTTCGCTTATTCTGCCCCTTACGGTGCTTTCTAAGGGAAAACAGGAAGTGGTCAAAATGATGACTAACAAAAAATGTATCTAAAGTAAAAGTGAGCGAACAAGGGGATATAAAACAGTGAAGGTGCTGTACTGTAGTAACAGAACAGGAGATATTACTCGACATTAATAAGGTAATTTACCTCATGTTACATTAACAACGTTTATATTTGGTTTGTTTTATGGCAAATCAACACCTCAATGGGTTATTTAATGACAGATTTGCTGACAAGATTTTTAGGATAGGTTCGTATGAACAGAATATGTATTCTTTGTAACAAATCAGTTTCTAGATCAGCTTCATTGTAAAGAGGGTTTTTGTCGAGGGTCAAATGTATTGCTAGTAATATCTTTCTTTTTCAAAAATGTATTGCTAGTATTTTTACTCTAAAAACCTATTTTTATACTTTCATGGTGTTTTGGGGGTTAATTATTTGCCCATAGCTGGGACCCTAACAGGTGCTACCACCTCGGGTCAGGGTAGATCTGGGAACAACAGCATTAAGAGGTGGTTCCATGCTCCTCAAAACCTCCTGCTCAGAGGCATTGTTGTCGGATATAGCTTATCACCATAGCCAGGACGACAGTAACAACGGAATTATCATCATCATTATTTTTTTGATTACTTTTTGTTTTTACTTTCAATGAATTCAGGATCAGATTTCTTTCTTACATGCAGTAAAAGAGTTAATTGTATAAATAAAAATCTGGGACTACCCATGCAAAAATATAATCAATACAATCACAAAATTACTTTTATGTTTCTGTCATTTATTCAAAGTACAGGTAAATTAGGGTGAAAAATTGCAAAAATTGTTGCAGCATACCTACGGACGATAATGGGTATGACCCTATTCATATAAATACAGTAGTAAATACTGTATGTTGGTCTGCAGTTGGATATTCGTCTCCAGCTGTGGTAGTCAAACTCACTACCTCCGGGCAGAGGGTTCCCGAGACTAGGCTATGTCGAAGGGCAGAGTCTCATCTCGGGAAACAGGTACGGGGAATTCTTGGCCGAGCCTACGGGCTCGGATACCCCACATTAAATTTGGCCTTGAGTCACATCTCACCACGTGGGGTGGTTGGTAGATATCCTGCAGTTGGAGATTCATTGTAGAATTCCCCTTGACTCACTTTTAGCAAGTGATTACTTATTCTACGTGCCGCTGACGAATCATATATGTGTTGTTCTTGTCCTAATTATTATCGTTCATTATCAACCTCCGTGTGATTTTTCTATTCAGTAACCTTCCCTAGGCTGCAAGGATATAACGGCATTCCGATATAATCTGCTTTCCGAGAGGAAAGTTATCGGCCGACTTACCTCTCGAAATCTGACTAAATGACTAAACGTCAGAATTTCTTAAATCCCTTCTGTGTTGGACCTAGAACTTTACAACATCCCTGGTATCATTGTATATGTAAATCCTTCCCTGTGTAATTATTTAATTTATTATATCTGGCGTGTTTATCAAAATATATATATATATTTAAAGATTAATAAATAGCATCAGAGAATATATGTGGCATTCGTCAATCTCGAGAGACCATGGATCTGCGCTCCAAAAGTTATGACTCAGCTGCTAATGGCGGCGCAACATCTATAATAGCTGTACAGGTCCACACAGGAGTGACAGTCTCGATGCAGCCGATGCACGTGAAGACGCTTTCCTCAGATGTCACTGTGTCGCATTCTTTTCTTCGAGTGCACTTCATCCCGGCGGTAAGCCGCCGTTTCTCCTCTCCTGACTCCAACCCTCAATGTAACCGCGTCACCAACGTGACGTCCATGCCCGTGTCCATCGCCCTCATGTTCCTTTGGAGACGTCCTTGAAGCGAAGATGAAGTCTCCTTCGTGAACTCTTTCCGGTGGTCAGTCACCCATACAGAAGGACCTTCATAATATTCCCATCAGTAGACTGTTGCTTCCTGTGTTTTGTCGTCGCATTAAGGCGCCGCTGGCGTGTCCTATCCCGAATGCAAACCTGGGCAATGTTTTATGAGAGATCGGTGGAGATTTAAATTCAAAGTTTTCCTTCTCTTAGTTGGACTACTACATTTGTGACGAGTTTTGTGACGACGTTCCCCGATCGTTCGTCGCTCACTGCACCTGTGATTACATCCAGAGCTGAGTGTATTTGTATATAGACCCAATTCGCTATGTGCACAGGTTTGTCTTCTCGGTCGTGATCGCTTTCAACAACAACACAAAGATGAAGACAGTTGTTTTTCAAGACTCTCTGGTTGAGAAGTAGCAACAATACAATTTCTCACTTAAACATGGGATCCTTCCTTCAGCTTCGTGATGTGGGCTGCTATCTTTCTAACTTCACTCGCCTCGACGACTCCTGATTCTTCACTACTCGTCCTTCTGTCACTGGGCAGCTCCAACTCCTTTAGTCACCCATATACTTCTTTCCTCCTACTTCCTGTCTTTATATACATTAGTGGGATGTGGATGGGGGGATGGGACCCCAATACTTGGATCCCATCCCTGCATCCACTGGTCTTTCCAGAAGATTTGTGATCCCCCCGAAAGCCACATGGGTGATAGAATCTTCAAAGGACTACTTTTATGACTATCTAAAATCATTTATAAACTTTTTATGTTTCCCAATTGAAAGGTGAATTAGAAACATGAATCCTGAAACACTAACCTCGAAGTTCACTCAAATAGATGTGTGGACTTAAAAGGAAGTAATTTATTTCCTTATCTTCTTCGGATATGTGAGAATTCATATTGTTACAGTATACTGTCATTTGAAATTATATGGATAATCATGGGTCCCACCCACTCCATCTCCTTGTCTTTCCGGAAGATTCGGGGCCATCCTAAAATCACATAGGTGATCATATCTTCAAAGGACTACTTTTATGATTATCTAAAACAGTGGACCCAACCGATTTGGGGCTTTGCCCCACTTTGGTATTTATAAAATTCATATTGTTACAGTTTATTGTCTTTATGACTATCTACAATCATTCCTACGAAATTCCAATAGCTGAGTGGATTTAAAAGGAAGGAATTTATCTCCTTATCTTCTAAAGATGTGTGAGAAATCATATTGTTACATTACTCTCTCAGGCTGACAAGTTCCATCAAAGAATAAGAGCTATAATAATAAACTGCAGAAAGGCAAATAGATATTCTTGATGATATGCAGTTATATGTGATTAGCAGTACTCTTAATGAGGCAGTTAGTGTGTAGCAGATGCAAGATGCAAGATTAATATTTAGGATGACCACAAATATTTTAATAAACATGAGTCCAATAATACTAAAAATGAATGAAGAAATAAAGTGTTGTATATAAGGTAAATAACATTGGTCAACTTTTATATATCAACAATCAAACAAAAAATAGTACACAAATGGGTATTTAAAAACTATGAACAGGCTCTGGAGAAATGTTATTTAAAGTTTACAATTTTAAGTTTGGCTTCATGCCAACTAAAGGGATTCCGCAAGTATGTATGTTTATGAAGTAGGAAGTATATGCTGGTAAGAGAGAGAAATTTTGTTCATGTACAAACATTCAGAAGAAGAGCAAGAAAGTAAAATAGTGAAATAGCATCTTTGTAGTTTGTATGTTGGTAGCGTTTCTTTGAAGTCACCGCGGAACCAAGTAGGTTTTTTGAGGCGAGTAGATCTACTATTACTGACTTTTCAGTTGCCAACTTTGTATTTGTTTTCGAAATGACTACTGGCTAACAGGCTCAGAGTTTTTGAAAACTAAATATAACCATTTCATTGGTTGATTATTCTATCTGAACGAACACTTGATGTGTTCCCTACTACGCCCGCTGATATTAGGTCGTCTCAATTGAAGGTGATTTTCTTTTTCGTTTAGAAACTAGGCGCAGTTTTTATGTCAGTCTTAGATCTCACTGGTTGTTTGCTGCTGTTTTTAATACCGCCTACTATTTGTGTGATGATACGTGTATATAGCACTTACGTTGTATATCTGTTCAAGGGAACAATTTTGAAGGAGACAGTAGAATCTATATGTGAGATTTTTTCGTTGTCAAATTCTCCGAACTTTTAAGTAGTATTTCATACAACGTTTACAATGATTATGAAAACATAATTTATGTTTGTCAACGCCAAAACAAATTCTTGTCGGAAAATAATCTTTTTGTTTGAATGCCATTCTAATTTTAACCTTAATTACATTATAACATAATTCGTTGTTTTACAAATAATTTTATATACATTTCATCTTTTAAAACATCAGTATTTTTTCTTTATTTTTCTCACCAGTTTGTTGGAACAAAAAAGCCGATGTTTTCTTTCTACTGGACAGTTCTTCTAGCATCAAAATGAACAATTTTCAAAAACAGGTGAATTTAATTACCAACATCGTGCGTAATTTTGATGTCGATCCCACCAAAATCCGAGTTGGTGTCGCTATTTATAGCCACGAATATTATCGTTATGTTAACTTTGATGATCATCAAAACAAGAACATAATTCTTGAAGCAATTGGGGAAATGACATACAAAGGAGGTGGCACGAAAACTGGAATTGCTTTAACAAAGTTGAGGCAAGAGACTTTCAATCAGAGATTAATGCGTCCAGATGCCCAACAGATTTTGATTGTTTTTACCGATGGACAATCGAGTGATTATGAAAACACTAAGATTCAATCTCGTTTATTAAAAAATTCTGGTGTCAAGATATTTGTAGTTGCAGTCGGCCCATACACGGATTTGGTAGAAATTAAGGATATCGCCAGTGAACCAACTCAAGAATTTGTTCATACAGTTACCAGTTTTGATCTTCTACAGAGTACTACTAAAATTCTGACTTACAAGGCATGTACAGCAGCTAACCAAACACTCCCCCGTGACCATGACAGTAAGTATTTTTATTATTATTGTTATAAAATTCATATAACGCTCATAGTTTCTGGTTAGTAAGACCGTAAGGAAAACACTGGAAACAAAAAATTGAGGGTTTAATCAGATGAGAACATAGATTGAGAATACAGTAGTTCAGTGCGACAAGGGTTCGAGTGGAAAGTGCTACGCCTAATTGGCTCACAGACTGGTCTCAGTTCACAATAATGAGATGTTCTGTTATGGTAACATGAGGCATTAATCAAACATGAAAATATCTCGTGTTAATATAACAACGAAATTCGTGGTTACTGAATAGTGATATCAGTTTGCTAATACATTTTTATTTGTTTTTTGTTGTTGTTTTTTTTGTTTTTTTTTAATTTAACTTTCTTGGGATGTTTTTACTTTGATGATAAATAAAAAGCAGGATTTTATTTCCTTATAATTCTCAAAAAGAAGTTGTAATCAAGGGAGGTAAATCTAAATTATTTATTAAATTATTTAGCGAATATATATATATATATATATATATATATATATATATATATATATATATGAAGAAATATAGTTTTAAGGTGTGCTATATTTATAGGATAAAGTGCTCAATATCAGAGATAGAGCGTATGTAAATATAAATATAAAAGTGAACATTGAAGTCAACACTCAGAGGCGACAGGCTCTTTCATGCTCGGCCTAACGATTATGTCCAGCATGAAAAAGCCTGTCACCTCTGAGTGTTGACTTCAATGTTTACTTTTATATTTATATTATATATACATATATTAATTTAAAATGTGTCATAGGTAAGGACGAATAGCATTCACTATCGGGCATACAACATTTGTAGATATAAACGGTGTGGACATAGAAATTAACACAGCATTGTTACTGGCAGTGCCACACCTATTAAAGCATAAGCAATGTTGGCTTCTATGATCCCAGTTCCTATATATTTTTTTGTTTGTGTAATGCTTTTCTTCGTCACAAATACTCATTATTATCCTTTTGGTGACGTAGAAATCGTAAATGATAAATAGAATGATATTTTTTGTGTTCAATATTCATGAAATATTGAACATAATAAACAAGAAAATACAAGAAATGTTTTTGATATTAATTACAATGCAATTGCAAAAACGTTCCGTCATTTTCTCTTTGACAGTACGGACAAACTTTTATATAATAACCAGGGCCGGTGCGTACTACCACCGAAGCCCACGACGTAGGGAGGGGCTAAACCTGATTAGGGACCCCGGGCAGTGCTTTTTGACTCTTGCTATCTTATAAACATTTGATTTTTTCTATCTACATTTATATACGTTGCAAAAAGGACAACTAACTATTAAAGGATAAAAAATTTTCACGGATTTTGACATCATTCTGGGGTCTTTTTTCTTTGTCCAAATCTGTGAATTTGTTTTACTCGTGCTAAGTCACAAAAATATAAAATTTACTACTTTTCATTCATAATGTTGAATGTGTTAAAATTATTCAACTTTGTAACAGTGAAAAATCCTAAGCTGATGTTAAAAATTGCCGCAAAACATTGTTGATTTATTTAAGATGAAATGATCTATTATGACATGTCTCGAATTTCTGTTTGGATACATTGTATTTATTTTCAATTTTTCTCGATGAATTGTTCACCTATATTGCATATGATCAATTATTGTTATATTGTTATTGTTAGGTTACAATAAAATTTGTATTTTATATGAATATTACCCTATGAAAATCGAGATGTAGTAGAGAGGAGGCCGTGCATCAGGATTCGAGCGTATCATAGATTGGGGGCATGGCACCCTTGCACCAGCCCTGATAATAATGAACGGTGTTACTGTTTCTCTGCCTTTCTGTATTCTTGATTTCTGATGCAAATGATAGATAAATGTAATAGAAAAATAGATAATAGATAAATTTAATAGATAGATAAATATAGCAAATGAAACCTTCACTGATTTTAATTTCTAATTCACCTCCAGAATTCAAACAGTTGGACAAAAGTGAGTTCAGCATTTATCGTTTGACTGCCGAGGAGTAAAAGTGCGCCACACGTGTTAAACCTATCTCTTCCTCCCTCGTTATAGGTAATTTCCAATTACGGGTTTGGTTTGCTTTGTTTTACGGCATATCAACCTCAATGAGTTATTTAATACCGGCAAAATTTTATTGCTGTAATATATATATATATATATATATATATATATATATATATATATATATATATATATATATATATATATATATATATATTCAAAAATATATTTCTGGTAATATTTTTCTTCAAAAATGTATTGCTGGTAATATCTTCTTTTTTTTTTTTACAAAAATGTATTGCTAGTAATAATTTTTTTACAAAGTATTTTTGGTATTAAAACTTATATTTACACTTTTATAGTGCTTGACTCTAGTTTGAGAACTTAACTATTTGCCCATAGCTGGGACCCTAACAGGTGCTACCACCAATGGTCAGGGTTGAAGCTGAGAACACCAGCAATTAAGAGGTGGTTCTACGCTCCTCAACACCTCCTGATCAGAGGCCTTGTTGTTGGAGTCCAATTACAGGCCTGGTGGATAACTAAGTTACTGACATGAAAAAAAAAACTCTCACAAATTAAATTTAAAACTCTGCTTATCTTTCTTGAAATGCCTTTGTGTGTGTGTGTATGTGTGCGTGTGCGTGCGTATGTGTAATACTGATGAAAGATTTAAACATTGATTTTCTCTAAATTTCATTCTGATATATATATATAAAAAAACGTTCTTTTCAAAATTAATGTGAAAATACAAATCTTTAATTCCTCGATAACTCTCTAGTTCCCTGGAATTTTGATTTGCATCAGTTAAGTTAGTTCTTCAGGCATAGCAGGACATAACTGAAACGTGATTGGTTAATGTGGGTTCTTCTACTAAACAGCACCTACCTCATTGCACCAACGAATGAAGATTATAAGGTCTCCTTGAAACCTACGGCAATTTGCTCTATATGCATACTACACCATTGCGTTAAAAAATGGATAGTTTTTTTTTGTCTTTGCGGCACAAACTGCAGATACACACACATACAGATACGAATGCAGTCACAATACTTTTGTGAATTTGTTCACACGGATTTGTGTGGACTCTATCCACACATACGTCTGTGTGAGCCAACATCAAATCCGAAATTTTGTCATATTTGTACTTATTGGTGCTGAAAAAACAAATAAATACCCATTTTTTAAAGTTTTTTTCCAAATTTAGTAAGATCAGTGTAGATATGTGGATGGTGTAATTTGGCGTGGTAAAAGGAATAGGAGAGCCGAGTTCAAATTCCCACATACTCAGTTATGCCCACTTTCGCGCAAAGGCTCTTGCAAAAAGCATGAATCTATCTCTTCTTCTTCCAGTTATTAGCGGGATAGACTCGGCTCTCGAGCCTTGGTGTCAACCAACCTAGCAGAAGAAAAATGTGTAAAAGGCACTATATTTCCTAAAAAGTCATAACAGTTCACAAATAATAAAAAAGCAATCCGCAGAAAGCCATGATCGTGTATGTTTTTTATATTAATGTTCCCTCAGTATAAGGCTCAAGGGTCACTCAAGGTAGAGGGTTACCGTGTGGTATTGTATGTGTGTAAGAAAGGGCAAGAAGTGAAGTTCATGAGGCCTGGAGAGTCATGGCCTTTACAAAAAAATAAAGTTATACAAATTTTAAAATTTAATTTGTAAGAGATTTTTTTCTATTTACGTTATTTAAATTGTTTAGGCTGTTTTCCTCATCTTTATTGTCACATGCACAGCGCATAGGCTGTTGTACACTCCGGCCTTCTTCAGATGTTATTTGTTTAAATTTCAAATCGAACCCAGAATAGTCAATCTCTATGTTGACTTTTCTGAAGATTGGTTCGATGATATTCTTCCTAGGTTTATTTTCTGAAATGCACTGACATATAACCTTCACATTCCTGGGTCGCTCATTATAGTCACTGGGAATCTGTTTCATTTCCTCCTCCCACCGCTTGCAAATATCGTGACAGAGAATTAGCAATGGTCAAGCTCTTTTCTCACATTTTGTTATTAGCCTGCCGTTCATAGATACGTATTGCAATTCTAATGCAAAAGCTGTCACCTTTATTTTGTTCCTTTGTCCATCGGTGTACAATAAGCCCACCATAGCTGTTTTCCAAACTGACATAGTTATTGCGAAGAATGCAATCTGTACTTGTTGATTTGCTGCGCTTTAGCACTTGGTGGAAAAATTGGATATGAAAATATATTTACACTATTTACATTGTTCGGACTATTTTCCTTCTCTTTATTGTCAAATTCGAACCGAACCCAGAATAGTCAATCTGTATGTTGATGTTTCTGAAGATTGGTTCCAAGACGTTTGTGCAGATGTTCTTCTTACCCTGTTTAGTTCCTGAAATTAGCTAACATTTAACATTCACCTTCCTGGATCGCCCAGTAAAGTAACTGAAAATCTGTTCCAATTCCTCCACTCACCGCTGACAAATATCGTGACAGGGATTGGCAAAGATCAAGATTTTTTCCCCTACAGTTTCTTGTTGTCCTGCCATCATAGATTAGAATTACAATTCCAAAGCAAAAGCCGTCACCTTTATTTTCTTCCTTTGTGCATCGGTGTACAATATGCATGCCATAGTTTTTCATATTTATCTGAATTTCGAAATTTATTTGAAATAGTTACAATACCTCATCTCAAAAATATAGACAGATTTTTTTTGTTAGACAATTTACATGTCCATATCTTAGTTATCTGTAATATCAAATATGAAGCAATTACAACATTTTAATGATTGCAATGGTGAATAAATTGACAGATACAAACATCATGACTATCTTTATTTCATTTTTTTTCTTGCAGCCTGTTACTCAAGCGAAGAGACTGAAGTCATTTTTATGATCGCTGCAACTCATCTTGGTTTTGCAAAAACCAAACAAGTGCTCCGGTCTATTACTGAAGTTGTTGACCGACTGGGCACACATTCTCCTTTCACTGTGGGAACATTGTTTGATGATTGTCCGGCAAACCAGGAAGTGTGGCCTGGTTCAATTGATAACAAGCAAGAATTAATAAACAGAATTTTGAATTTTAAATACCGACCCCTCAGCTCTCTATTTCATCGCCTTGAGAGTTCTCATGAGGAAATGTCTTCACAATCTTCGACGGGTGGCGATATACGCAAAGTTGCTGTACTTTTCATTGACCACACAATGGACTTGAATGAACGAGAACTTCATAAAGAGGTCAATGAAGTCATTTTGGAAGGGACACAGATATACGTTGTGGTCATTGGCAAAAAAGTTAATATGCCTTTACTGCAGCAGAACATTGCAAGAGGAAACGTGAACAGTATTATCGTGGTCCCTTCATATGATACATTGGTTGATATGATGCCTTCGAGGCTTCTTAGTAGACTGTGTAAACGGCCCTTCAATGTAGTAGAAACTTAGTGAACAAGGCGGTAAATCATGAACACATACAGAAGAGTCAGTTTGTGCCATGTGTGATACACGCTTAGGCGATTATGTATCTTTCGATACATGACTGTCGAGGAAGATTTTTTACCTTCAGTAGGTTGCCATTTCTTTCTACGGTAAACCATTTGCCATACAAGGCTATAGAACTCCTGGGGGGGGAGAAGAAGAGGATTCAAACCTTTCCCAAGAGTATTAGCATGTAAGTGAATGTAAGGGAGGCACAGCAGAGTAATGGATAGAGGCTCAGATTGAGGAATCGGAGAGCCGAGTTCGAATTCCAGTCGCTACATTCACTTACGTGCTAATACCCTTGGAAAAGATATGTATCTTCTTCTCGCCTCAAGCTATGGGTAAATAGCAGGAGACCGGGTTCTATAGCCTTGGATGGCAACTAGTCCACCGCAGAAAAAAATGGCAACCTACTGCGAGAAAAAATCTGTCTCGTCAGTCATGTATCGAAAGATACATGATCGCCTAAGCGAGTATCACGCATGGCATATAACTGACAGAAGAGTACGTGTTCAAATCGCGCCGAGGTCGCTAGTACTTTTACTGGATCAGTAACCAAGTTTTAAATGGAAAAAAAACCTTGAGACTTTTATATATTTTTAGTTAGATAGCAAAAACTAAAAAAAAAAAGTTATATCGACATTTAACAAACATTTCTCTTATTCCAACATTTCTGTTTATTCCAACATTTCTGTTTATTCCAACATTTCTGTTTATTCCAACATTTCTGTTTATTCCAACAGTTTTACAACCAAAAGAATGTAATGTGAGTAGATAAATAAATTTATTTGTTATATAACTTGTTTTTATGTTTTTGCCAAGTCTCAAGTCAACATAGTTATTTTTTTCAAGATTAGCGGACGTACGCCAAGTACACATATTATTTTTTTCCATTTAAAACTTGGAAACAGTCCCGCTAAAACTGGATACGTAAAAATCTGGCAATTATATACATCCCATCAACAGTAACCCGTTACGTCTTAATGGCCTTATTGCTTAGCTTTGGGTGAAATGATTTTTCAAAAATGTAGATTTATATATTGAATTAATAAATTTGGGCTGCAAGTATCATGAATATACGAAATTTATGAAATGGTTGTATATATTCGTGTTCATCCGAATAGCATTCATGGGAAATATTTGATCAGAAGCTTTTATAAGTATATGCCTGAGAAATATGACGTTTTAAAAATGGAGGAATTTTAATATTTTACACCTCATTTTGATATGACAGATTTCTTCTATTTTATACTTTTTGAATATTAAATTCAAGCCATGTAAGAAGATTATTTTATTTTTTATTTGCTAATATATGTTTGAGATATTTTTTTCAAACTAATTCCTTTATTATTCAACCGTGATACTGTCCCTAAAAATACTGAAATAAAATCACATGTTAACACATATAACTCGTATTTTTGCA